TGTAAGATATGTCAACGAAAACACCAACATTCGGTGTGAACAGCCTTCAGCCCACAATCCCAAAACTCGTTTTCAAGGTATTTTCGTTGTCGGTCAGAACATGGTATTATTGCTTTGTTGACAATGAGTGAGCTTCCACCTCGCGTAGGTTTGATTAAGAGTAGTAATAAGGTCTTTTAATTTAGAATTGAACCAAGGGTTGCTGCTGCATTTCGCTATTTTGCGTCTGAGTGGAACGAAGTCATCAAAGAGCCTATTTATGTGTTCTTGAAGAAACTTATGGTCCGATTATGGTAACTCAACGTAACTTACGGCTCTCTCTTAAAAATTCTGTTAAATGGGTGTTGCTTATAATTGAACAGCCGAAACTTAACGTAACTTAATGCCACGTCGAAATCTGTTTCATTTTGATTCTCTAAGTTCTACGTTCCGTTAAGTTAAGTTAAGTTGCCATAATCAGGCCTTTAGTTTGGTCGTTAATAGTTACCAGCGTTCGAATCAGATTCCATTCCACTGACTCCACCGCATCAATGTGAGAGGTACAGTTGATGTTCTTGAGGTCTAGGTGTGTGAAGAATGTTGATATTCTGGTTGTTTGAAAATCAAAAATTAAGAAAATCAAGTCGTGTTTCAAAAAGTTTGACAGTTGTCTACAGTGGAGGGATTTACTATGCTCATTCACAAATACATCAAGTGCTGTTGGTGTTAGTAATATTTGTTGGTCAGTAGGTGTTAGTAGGAAAAAGTCCTAGAGACTCCATACTAACTTTTAAGCTGCAATCGAAAATCAGGTTGCTCTTGAAATCATCCGCTACCACAGCGTTGTTGTAGTTGTCGAGTAACGGTTGAAGAATTTCGGTGAAATTGAAGAAGCTAATAAGATGATTGGGTCTGTACACATAACTGACCAGGAGCTTGTTTTCACCTGAAAAGATATCAGTGAACACATATTCCACAGAGTCACTACAACCAGAAGCGCAACATAATCTACAAGACAAACAAATTTTAACATATGTACGAGTATATTGCGACACCACCACCAAGACCACTTCTATCAGCTCTAAACAGTTGGTATCCAATATTCACTTTTATCAAATCATTAATATGATATGGTGTGAACCACGTTTCGGAGACACAAGGAATATGAAAATTGGAATCCTATCTCTATCTCACCTCATCAAGCTTTTTGTACAAAGTTTACGCATTGAGGTGATTTATCTTAAACTCAACCGCTTGTTTGCATAAAATGCGCAACATGGTGTTAAAAAGACTTTGGAACTCGCCTGCTCATCGTCCAAAGTCAATATACAATATTTTAAATGCACTGCAGTTGGAATCTAACAAAACTAATAACAAATTTAACCACAAAAAAATATAGGGAAATAGAGTATGACCCGCAATAAAGGAACAAATAAAAAGAACAATAATAGTAGTAGTAATCAGACATCTTGTGGATCTTCGCTGTTTTGGTTTATACTCCCGTCGCAAAAGGAGTGGATACCTGGTGGACTAGTGTTCTCAAGTTCATTGAGTATATCCAGGGTGTATATTGCGAGCGGACTGTTGTTTTTCTGTTGACTAATGTGAGCTAAGCCTCCTCTGGTGAACACAGACGCAACCTTTTTCGTTTTTTGAGATTAAAGGCCCGTCCACATAGAACTTTGGCGTTGCGTTAGCGTTGGCATCGCTTCAACAGCTGACTATGAATACATGAATTCAAATGCAGCCGTACACATAGCCGAAATTCGGCAACGTTCACGCCATCATAAACCAAAAAGATGGCCAACACTCATTTTTTCGCATGCGTCGCTCGTCAGCTGTTGCAAATAAATCAAATTATGTGAAATATTTTTCATTTCTAATCAAGTGCGGGCAAGAAATATCGTTTTTAATGCAATAATTGATATGAAATATTAATTTATCTGTCGTTAGTATGTTAATTTAGTGGCCCAAGCATTCGCTGCCAAGCGTTCATTGTAGCAAGCATACTTTTAACGTGCGTTCTGTCAAACCAACGCCAACGCCAAAGCCAACGCGAAAGTTCTATGTGGACGGCCTTAAGGGCTGTCTTAAAAATCTGGTAATTATGCTTTGTTAGCGACACATTAATGAAGACAGGGGCTTTAGATTGTTTGCCTGCATGAGTTAGCCGTAGTCCACTGTTGTTTGATCGTTTATAATTCGCCATAGTTTTTAGAAAATTATTTCTATCCGCAGGTACTTGAAATTTTATTATAATCGCAGGGTCAACCGGGTGTATCCCGAAGTTTCCGTGCTCGGAAAATACCCCTTAATGGAGGTGGTTGTAAATTCAGCGAAAAACATAGATGGTGAAATATACTCTGCAAGTTTTCACCTTCTTTGAGTGGGATCCCTAGTACTCTAGCATCACAGGCAGCCATAACTTGCTTACCATGCTTGGTGAGATTAAAAGTTTTAAAGCTGCTACCTCTGCCTTACGGATTCTAATTCGATCGATAGTAGATTCCAAACGGGTTTAATTCGGTTAACCCGCGCGTAAAAGATTCAAACTTTTCTTCAAATTTGTGAAAGAAAACCTCCATAATTCTATTTTCGGACTCGAGGATTTGCTTTGCAAGCAGCTCGTTGAACTTTTCCAAGCGTTGATCCATACTACGTATAATATTTGGTGATGATATGCAGAGGTTTTCTAGGTTCTGCATCGTTGCAAGTAGTCTCACCACGTCGTTTTCTGGAACCTGCAGTCATTTTAGTGGGTTTATAGAAAAGAACGAGGAGGCAGCACAGTTTTCGACACGAAGTTGTGATTTACACAAAGTTTACCACAGGTGGCGCTGTTGTAGCTATTGATGGCACAAACCAAACAATTCGGGGGAAAAAAGTGGCGAATAGCGGGAGACGTATAGGAGTTGTTGTTGATTAGGAATTTCGCCTCTTTTTCATTCAGCAAGAGCAAAAGAATTTTGTGAGGCGCCTGACTTAATTTTCAATATCGATGTTTAGAGAATCCCGGGCGATGAGTTGTTTCGAACCGGCCATCCAATTGCCTTGTATGTTGCTAACAGCGTTTCTTGGTATTTGCCCCAGTGCTGCGACTAGCGATTTGAGGATTTCGTTTCGACTATGTATGCAGTTGTATGGGCCGAGAATGAGAACAGGGTGTCGAAAGTGGCTGCCGAAATTTGCTCGTAATCGACGTGAACACCTAGTTGTAGTCTGACCTCTTTGGTCCAGGTGGTGAATAGTGTTCCTGCAGCAAAGAAGCGAGAATTTTCGGAGAGGTAACCGTTTACGCTTGAACACAGGTCATCAACTCCATTGCCGGACGCCATTATCGAGCAATCGTCAGCGTATGAGAGGTGTGGGAGTTTCGAGATATAGAAACTAAACAGCAGTGGGAAGGGGTCACCACCCTGTTAAACCCCTAAACGAGTGTTGAGCACTCAAATAATTCCCTGACCACCGTTTTAGTCCCTGTGGGGGAGGGGAAGCCTCAATGTCTTGTGTCTTGCGTGGAGTGGCACACGGTGTCAAACTCCTTTGACAGTACCATAGATACTAGGCTAGGGGTTAACTGAGTGCTTAGGGCAGCCATGCTGATGCTTAGCTGGGGTCAGGTGATTCGTGATGCAAGGGAGTAACAAGACCTCTAATATCTGCTACCGGGGTAAGGAGAGTTATCGACCGATAAGACTTCTTTGTTTGCAGGTTTCTTCAGTTTCAGCAGTGGGACCGGATTCTCACACATCGGGAATGATGTCATAGACCATAGATATATTGAGGACCTTGGTGAGGTAGTCTTCTCCCGATGGACACGAATTTTCAGCAGCAGTTTGTATACTCCGCCGGAACCAATGGTTTTGGAGGCTTTTATCTTCCCGATGGCCACCTGAACTTCACTGCTGGTTAAAACAAGAGGCCCACTTGGTTTCCGTAGTTTGTGCAGCCCTTTGGCCACTCGACTCTTGGTTTTGTCCACTGAAGGATGCGGAGTGAGCTGCCGTCTAAAAAAGCTCGCGCATCATCCCGCGTCCGACGAGGTACAATCACCGAATGAGATCTTCTCTCTGTCATCCTGCTTCGCTGGATTGAAGAGTGACCTTGCGGTTGACTAAAGCTTGGTCACACCAGAGGCGAAGTTGCTACTCTTCAGGTCCTACTTCCATTTTTTTTTTGCCAGCGTTGGTCTATCAGTTGCCGAATATCCGCATTCAGATCCTTGATTTCCCAGATCGGCATGGTTCAGGTAGTCATGCTAGTCCGCTGGAACAGCCGTCTCGGCTGGGAAATTTATATATTTATATGTGCGGTGTTCTGCGGGAGCAAAGTCGGCGGGTTTATCGATCGCGATGTCTATCAGCAGATACGATGCTAACACCGGCATGGGTCAGATCAACGCTATCAATTCGGTCGTCGTCGTCCATTATGTAGAATACCGAATCGTTCATCTGCTCAGCCTATTGTATTCCCCTACAATTGTTTCATAAGCTCGAAGGCCAAAGATTGTGGTGCGCACTGAGATCACCCAGGATCATGCGGGTTTGGACTCTTAACAGCGCGCCCATAACAGGGTGATTTCCTGCCGGGCAGCTGCACGGTGTGATGCATGATGAACGCTAAACCTCCACCATTATCACTGAGTTGTGAAAAACGGTCATATACCTACTTGGAATTATTCACGAGAACTCCTAAAAAATATTTAGTACTCCACTGGTGTAAATTCATACAGACATGTATTTTTGTATATGTGCATGTGTGTACATACATACTTTATTCACATGTCGCAATTCATTAGCACGCTACTAATTGCTTGCAAAGTGACTCCGTCGTAATGTCTACTCCTTTTAACTGAGCGTGTTCTGCTTGTTTTAAGAGTAAATATTTATGTACATGCATACATACATATGGATGGATGTACATATGTAAATATTATGTATGTATGTGATTGTATGTAGTAACACCGAAAAGATGCGTTCTTCCACAGTGGAGCCTGGATTTTCGGCACTCCCTCCACTTACCTTGATAGCTTCTTGGTGTTTTGGACATCAATGTGTCCGCCTCCAGTGGACGAGTGTCCACCATATGCCTTGCAGCGCCGGTTAGGTTTGTGTAAAGTATATACAGCCTTATTGTTGTTGTTTTTACAGAATGTATTATCTTTGTCAGTGTAGTGGATAACTGAAAGCCTATTCCTAACCCCCAGGTTTTAAGAAAAGTCGATATGCCAAGTTTTGCAGCGAATACGTAAGAACTTTTGTTCGACTTTTTTTATTAAAACCCGTTTGTACTGCTTTTATTTTATATCTTTAATGGTATTGAACCACTTTCTCAATTGCTTAATTGTTTGCGATAAAAAGAAACATCAGTTTGAGCTTATTATCTGCTTACGTTGCCTAATCACTTTTTCACTGAGTAAAATTTCCGATTCGAATCACTTTTTCGTTATTAACATTACAGGTACTGTTTCAATTATACAACCACTTAATTATGTACATACATACATACATACATGAAACAAATTTAATAATTTTTTATTGCCACATGCGCTGTCTGGTTTCTAATAACATACGAACAAAAAACAAGTATGATTATTAGCCGAAATCAAGCGTCAATACACACAACGACACCAATCCAATTTCACTGCTGGAAAAATACTAAACAAAAGCAATATTAAAATAAGCAGAAATCAGCGTTGCACTCAGTGTGACCGCGGGCTTGTGAAAAATTGTAGCAGAGAAGAGTAGGGACGTGCGATTAATCAATTAATCGAACAAGCTGATTAATCGAAAGCCGATTAATTAATTATTTAAATAATAATTATTTTTGATTAATCAAAATATTAAAAAAATATTGAATGTGCATACGAACATACGTATTTTTGCATGCAAACATACATACAAAAAAAATCATTTCGTTTGAAAGCAAACTCGAAAGGAATAAATAAAGTTATTCAGATTTCAATTAATTTTTTTTTTTTGAGTAAACGGTAATTACTCAGGATCTGATTAATCAAATTATTTGATTACTCAGAATTATGATTAATTAAAAAACTGATTAATCGCACATCCCTAGAGAAGAGACTGAAAATGTATCAATATGTATCACTTTTTTATTTTAAGTATCAAAGTATCAATATGGAATAAAATTAATAATTTTTATGAAAAGTCACTTTTCAAAACAAATTAACATTTATTGATTGCAAAAAAAGGTACACGTATAAGTTGTATGTACATGGTACTAATATCATAATAAAGAAAATGTCTGGGTATTAGTATAAAAAAACAGCTAAAATGTCTTATACATAATCCTATTTTTAGTTTAAATACTTTTTGTACTTATGGGACTTAAAATTAAAATTTTTTAATAATTTTTAAGACATTTGGAAAACATTATGCATTCCACCATTGGCAAAGTGGAGCGATTTGTTTTAGTTGTTTTGATCAAAGTCAGATCTGAGAAAATGAGCTCTGCAGCGGCAGAGCTGTGCGGCAAACGTAACAAGTTAAAAAGAAAAAAAGTTAGATCAAAATATAAAAAGTTATTTAAAGCAGTTTTTAGCTTGCTTACTCCCCCAAAAAACTGTGTTATGTCTTCACCGCAATCAACTTATTATGGAATTTCAAAAGTTGCCATTGTATACATATTTTCTCTTTGTCGCTTTCTTTATGCAAATTAGGAAAAAATTTTAAAACTGTCAAAAATGCCGAAGCACTTTTATTATATGACATGTAAGGCTTTTTAAGATTTCACTGTTAAAGTCAAATCTTTTTTTATTTGCAGTTCAGTGTAACATTGCTGAATATTTTTTTTTTTAATTTCTAAAATTAAGACTTTACTTAAATGTGCTGTTAATATCTTCGTCTCTACGGCACAAGTAATATATACTTCCTTAATAGGTAAATGATTATCTGGGTTAAAAGCGTCTATATCAGCTGGGTCACTTTACATACAGTCTGGTCTGACAAAAGTGACAATATAAGTTTATAATTACTTTTAAAATGGTTATATAACTTATGCAATCTGTATGATTCACTTTGAAATTCTATGTTCATTCGATTGACAACATCCAAAATATTTCATATATAATAAAAATATATACATATATATATAATATATATATACATATATATATAATATAATTTATTGGTGGGCAATCAATTTTTTCGGCAATAGCTCACGCTTGGTTCACACCGTCATCGAAAAAAGATATGAACAAGTAATTTTTAACAAAAAAAAACCGACTTTAATTCTCATATAAATATATATATATATATATATATTTCATGATCCAATGATCGGATCTAGACCAGATTAGTATGGGACCACCTCGATGCAAAAAGAATTATCGAAATCGGTTGACGTGGTCCAAAGTTATGCGGTAAACAACATAAAATAAGTATTCCGACGAACTGATAACCTCCTCCTTTTTTAGAAGTAAGTTAAAAAGAATAGCAACGCGCTATACTGGGCATTAAAGAGCGAAATACACCACACAAGCGGTTTGACAAACCAAGCGAAATTTCCCTTTGCTTCAAGCCATTTGTGCTGTGTATGGGGGTGTTTGAAGGTTTGACGGCGGTTTGTCAAACCTTCAAACACCCCCATACACAGCACAAATGGCTTGAAGCAAAGGGAAATTTCGCTTGGTTTGTCAAACCGCTTGTGTGGTGTATTTCGCTCTTAAGTTTTATAATCTTTAACAACAACGCACTTTTGAAACTCGGCAAATTCAACCACCCTTTTAGCACTATGTGCCATGATAAAAAAATAGGAAGGTAGAACCACTGAGAGGAAAATTTCAAATTCTTGACGTTTGCAAGCAATTTAATTTTAAAATTTTACACACAAACTCACACACACATCTCATTTTCAATTTCAAACAACAACAACTTTGAACAATTCCTTTTTTTACTCTCAATTTTATACGATTATAAATGTTGGCAAACTGCAAAAAAAATATGGCCGACGCATTGAGAGAACGGTTTTACCTTACTATGCTTTTATAATGCTATGGGCGAAGTAATTGTAAACATCTCTTGCAAGTTTTTCGACTTTTACGAAATTCATCGAAAAACGTATCACTTTTGGACCACTTTGAGCAAAACGGTCACACTGGTTGCAACAGTCAGCCGGTGTTGCCCATTCGACCAAAAACGAGGCGGAGTTTTGTAAGAAGTTCACAAATGTCTGGTACACATAATAGATATTAGGTCAATGTTTAAATTTTAATAACAGCTGTCGCATCCATTAGTTAACAAATAGTTGAAAACAGCTGGTTTTTTATTCGTTAAATAACAATCGAGAAAACAACGCTATGTTGCTTTAACAAGCAAAGCTTAACCGGCCGTCTTCACGTGCTGGAAAATCTCGCTTGCGTGACCGCACGTGTAGACCGCAAAAAGTACGGAGCATGCTTTTTCTCGCATACCGAGCGGTATGCGAGCTCTCGCTTGCTATCAACTGTCATTTTTGTTGTTTGACAGGTATGTTCTCATTTCGCAGAGTTCTTCAGAGTAGCAACATCGTTTATTTTGGAGGCAAATACAAATTTAGAGGTAGTCTTTTTCATTTGAAAATAGCATACATATCTTTATGCAGATTTTCTAATTTTCTCAAACTTTTAAGAGCCTGCAAGGCTTGAACCTTCTGGTTTGGCGACATTTTACAAATGAAAAAGTATGCTGTGAAATGCCCAGTCAACAAAATTCTATCTCGCTTGCGAGAGAAAAAAGCAGAACGCAAGCGAGGTTTTCAAGCATGTGAAGACGGCCGGTAACGAAAACAATGGCTGCGTTTCTTTATACATTCCGGATAATCCCATTTCACAGCCGGAATAAAGAGAATACGCTTGAAATATACGTTAACATATAATCAGGTACGTTCTAAAGAATAAGTAAACAAAAAAGTTTATTCCAAACGTTCAGAATGAATAAAGAAATTCAACCAATATGATAAAATTAACAACGTGTTAAAAATTGAATTGGCAATCTTGTTATTTTGTAGTTTTCCTACACTGGTTACCAAGAAGTATCAATTGGTAAAGCGAACAAACTCCCAAGTGACAGCTCAAGGCGCATCAATTACAGGTGATAGCGATAGAAGCTATGCTTCTTCTTATGAGCACGCTTGTGTCAAATTATCGTCTGTTTTGCTTTATTTACATATCCGCCTACACATACACATATACGTATATATATACCCTGCAAACAAATGCTCCCGAAATCTTTAAGAGTGTCGGAAATTTGTTACGATTCTTTTAGAAATCTGTAAAGAAAAACATATGAAGCGGTTGACAAGAACTAGTAAAGAAATATCTGTATGATTTCTTAAAGAAAATTCTTAAAAAAATTGTGAAACCTTTCAGAATTCTATGAAATCCTGGTATGCAGGGTATACATATACACACGAATATGAATAGATAAAGAAGATGTTGATGACACAAGGAGTTCATACCAACGGTAAATGTTGTTTTTGTACGATTGCTACAACCTGTAGTTGTTGAATCATGGTGACAGCTCTTTCTGGGAGAAGCAGATTTTGGCGTTTTGTGCACGCCGCTGTAATTTTTAATTCAATTTTGTTCTGATAATAAATATTTGATTTTCACATTTAAGACGAGAAATGGATGAGGGAGATTACGATAACGATGAGTAAGTACTTCCTTTACATTAAAGTTTTAAGACACTGCTTACTTTTAAGTTGCCAGTTTTTGATGGGTGGCTTGCACTGCATTTCATTAAACATTTCCTCACTTCTAGTGTCGGTGGTGATGATTTCGATGATGTTGACGAGGAGGATAACATCGATGATATTAACCAAGAGGAGGAGGCTGACAATATAGAAATTATAGCGCCAGGAAATGCTGGTGGTGGAGTGCCCAAGGCGAAGCGCATTACAACCAAATACATGACGAAATATGAACGGGCGCGTGTGTTGGGTACGCGTGCGTTGCAAATTGCTATGTGCGCACCCATCATGGTGGAGTTGGAAGGTGAAACAGATCCGCTGCAAATTGCTATGAAAGAGTTGAAACAGAAGAAGATACCAATTATTATAAGGCGATTTTTACCGGATCACTCCTATGAGGATTGGAGCATCGATGAGTTAATTATAGTGGACCATTAAGTTGTAGATTTAAATAGTAAGTTTTATTAAAAAATCAAAATATATATTGGACATTTGTGCAAAATGAGAGTGATTCGCATAATTCTGTTTTGTATAATTGCCGTTTACTAATATTTTATTGGTTTATAGACTGTAGTGGTATCCGACGGAATGGTATAAACTCTTAATTTTAAAATCCATTATTTAGTTTTTAAGCTCCGGCCGCCAGTTGTCAACTCCACGCGAAGCCATATTCTTTATCATAACACACTCGCTCCAAGAGGGTGACTGCATTCTGCCCCGTGCGGCACATGCACTCCACAACAGAGGGCAGCAGTCCGCAGTCTGACAAGTTTTCCTGTCCGAAAACCTGTCCCGCAGCGTCATCGTCGACTTGCTTAGGTTGTTCTGTTTCATCTGTGGCAGGCCCAGCATGTTCTAGCAAACGTTGGGTAGCTTTGCTGAATGCCAATGTATTATTGTTGCTGGCAAGAGTGGCGCTAAATGTATCTTTCGTTTCGCCTAGCAAATGACAGGCATACGGCAGGAATGAGGGTAGCACAACTCCTTTCACTTCAATGCTGTTGTAGTCTACACCGTCCATACGAACCTTACTCGAGCGAGTACCTAAATGTTGCATTGTGGCCTTGGGAAAAGCGACCGGCGCAAGTAGTGTGGGTGGAATGCCCGCTAACTTTCCCACATTTGAAATGGCGCTTTTAGCGTTGAGCAAAAAGCTGAAGAATCCTTGACATTCAACGCCTTCTATTAGTAAAAGCGAATTTTCGGTGAAGTCATCGGACATCTCTTGAACATTCAGACGACGTATGTGCGCAGTTTGCATTCTGCGTAAATCCTTATCATTAACTTCCAGATTTTCTAAAAAGTTATCGGTATCTTCTTCATCGTCATCTACCAGTAGTTGAGTTGTATCATCTAGAGTGCTAGTTTCCTTTGCTGTTAATAAGAGATTTATTATTTTAAAATGACAATAAAAACGAACTTGGAATTACCATCACTGGCAGCATCGATGCTGTTGCTCTCCTCCGTAAAGTTACCTTCGTCAGACTTATTTAAAGCGCTATCCTTTTTCAATGGCATTGTGTACTCTATGCCCTCTTGTCGTAAGGCGCTACGTATTCCGCGTGTACTTGGCGACATAAGAGCATGTGTTTCTACACAACCCCCGGTGCCAGCGGCGCGAAATAGTACTGTAAATGTATTTGCACATAGGTAAAAGTACGGACACTGTCGTGCACGGAGCAGCTGAAATAGTCCTCTAAAACTGTAATCCCAATCGTCCGCTAGTGCTTTGCGCTCACGTTCTCCAAGCAATACACCATTGTTACTTTTGGAATTGCGTGGAAAGAGGGTCATCCAAGGAATGTGGGGATGTTGCCAATAGTAAGTTGCTTGGTTGAAACGCGTCGCTGGCGAGATGTCTAAGCCGCATTGCGTATTCTGGGTGTCAATACAGCGTACGAAGCTCGTCAAACCGCTGGCCAATTGGCTGGTTTTCAGCGTTGTTGTAGGCAATTCACTGCGACACAAAATACGTACTCGAGTTTTAATGGTCCAGTCCATTGGCAGATGTTTAGTTATTTTCTGTTCTTCCAAAGCAGCTTCATCATCATCTACGGCGGTAGTAGCACGTAGCATAGAAGAGAAAGATTTCGGGTCAAATGGCTGCAACACCAATTTGGCAGGCGGTGGACGTGTAGGCGTTTCGCGCACAAACGTTTCCTTCTGTGGGGGTGGGGTTTCAACGAATCCAAGGAGGGAATCATCTTCGATGAGTGGCGTGGTATCGGTACGTGTTCGTTTTGTTTCCTCAGATTTACTGCATAAGCGAAAAGTAGTGTTTAGAGACTTCAGTTAGAAATGAGTTGCACAACTTACATTGCGAATGGATTTTTTCGTTTTTGCGAAATTTTAGCTTCCAGTAAACTTGCTTTATCTTTACTTAACTTTTCTACGCTAGTAGAGCTTTTCTTTTGGTTCAATCGCGCAGCCAGCTGCTTTTTCTTCTGTTTTAACCGATGCAATTTGATGAGCTAGAAAAAGAGGACGCGATACACACAACTAAAAAATTTAAAGGATATACCAATTGTACCTCATCTGGATGTTTCCAGTTTTGTGAATTGCACTCTTTAGCTATGGACATTTTCCTGATCGTTTCAAATTTCTAAATATAATAAATAGTGTTTAATACTATAGCTGCTGTTTTCGCGATGTTCCAACTTTTCCTTTGTTGCGCGCGTAATTTTCGGCAAACTTGTTTTTCCAGCAAGGCTTTTTGACAGCAATCAGCTGTTCGCTGCGTTGGAGTTGCCAACTATCCCTAAGATGGGTTTAGGAAAATCTTTGTAAAACTATGTTCACATATCAATATTATCTCAATCAAAGCTCGTTTTTTAATCACCCCGTTTACACAGGCAAATCTCAGATTATTAGCCGTCAAATTTGTTGTGCTTGTTATTCTCACATCTCAAGGAAAAGTTATGTTTCTTCTCTGTGCCACCGTGATCACGTTTTTCTGCTATAATAAGCAATATAAATATATTTTAACCTAACATTTTATTAAAAATACCTTTACAAACCTCTTTTACTTGCTAGCGTACATTTTTGTCTACTTTTACATTTGGCATTTCTCCTTTCTTTCGCAAAAACAATCGATAAAACTAGAATGGACACCGAAAAGTTATCGGTTAAATTACAAATTAGGGTGTTAAGCTCGAAAATGAGGATAATCTACTTATATGCGAACCTAGTATAAGGTTTGGATATTTGCCTCCTATTTTTTTGCGTGCATACAGTGGCTTCTCGATTAATAATAATAATGATAGATTGGCGCTTACACATATGTTAGTGTTTGGCCGAGCTTCTCCTCCGAATTGTGGCGTGCGCCTTGATGTTGTCACACAAAGCGGAGGGACCTACAGTTTTACGCCGACTCCGAACGGCGATTGTATTTTTATGAGAAGCTGTTTTTCATGGCAGAAATACACTCGGAGGTTTGCCATTGCCTGCCGAGGGACGACCGCTGTTAAGAAAAAACCTTTTCTCTAAATTTTTTTGGGATGTTGCTATGACCAGGGTTTGAACCCAGGTGCTGCGGAGTGGAAGCGCGCACTGCTTACCACAAAACCACAGCGGCTTCTCGATTACATTAAAGATATATCACCCCTAAGGGACAATTGTTTTACATTCTCACGATAGCCGGTTCCGCTTACCGGGATGACCTGGGACTAACCCGATCAAGACTTATTGTTTCTGCGATCGAACTCTGTTTAGGTCGGCAAAATATCTCAAACGTTGTTCGAGCATGCGGCTATAGCTGCTTCGTACTCTTGAGCTCAGGGCTGGCATTGAGTCAAACCCTAATCAGAAACCTACACCTGCTGCATGTGCCATAGATGACTACACCCGAACTTTACCTCAGTGAGGTGCAATACCTGTAACGGGTAGACTCACCTCCGAGCCTGCTCAGGTCTAAGCACTCATCGTCCAACGTGGCGTCTTGCTGCTCAAACAGAGCTGCCCCAACGGCACACTCGAGTCCGCCTGAGAAGCTCAACACAAACACGACTGCCCCAAAACGCAACACAATAGAACTCACAACCGCGCCGTCAACCACACCCGCCGCCAACAACTCCTGGTTCCTCCGACAATTTGAAGTTGCGCTCAATGTAATCAAATGCAAACGCACGCGAGCCAATTTGGAGTGACGCAGAAAACAAGCTCGACGACGTGCATACCAAAACGCAAGCGGTGAATATTAGGTTGGCCTGTAAGATCGGCGAGATAACTGGTTTTATGGGACGGCATGAAATATTAACAACTACGGTCCAAAAGACGAAACTGCACAGCAAGTCAACTTTGTTAAACTGCGCCGGATACAATGTGCACCGTCGAGATCGCGAGCGCGATAATGGTGTTGGCCTAGCATTCACAACGCAACTCGGATCACATTAGCAGAACTTCGCTCTGGCTACTGCAGCAGGTTAAACTCGTGCCTGACAAAGAAAGAAACTACAATGCCGTCAATAAATACCCAAAAAATTTTATGGATTCACTTTGAAATATTGTTATTCCTCCTAGGTACGTAAAAAACCCCACGTACGCCATCCGCTGTATCAGACGAACTACATACAGGCAGACTTTTAGCGAGAGTCAGTTAATACTTTCTTCAACTATTCCCTCATGAATGCCGTCATAGGAAACCACCATCCATAGCATCCCAAGAGCGCGAGTTGTCGCGTGAAACCTGAATTACTTTAGTACAATTCTGCTTTGGATTTTGTAGCAGACGAAATTCCAACTTGCCTAGAACTACATATCTATTTTATGTCCAATATGTGAAGTTGCCGCTGCGGTATAGTGGTTAGCAGTGCGTGCTACCATTCCACAGGCCTGGGTTCAAGCGCGGTTCAAACCAACATCAAGGTTCTTTTTCCAAATAGCGGTCGCCGCTCGGCAGGCAATGGCAAACCTCCGAGTGTATTTCTGCCATGAGAATCAGCTTCTCATACAAATGCAATCGCAGTTCGGAGTCGGCGTAAAACTGTAGGTGTGACAAAATAAAGGTGCACACCAGGTGCACCACAAATTTGCCCCGCAAGATAAATAGCACCCCTTCACCCGTCCATTCAAACCAACTCATCTAACATTGCTTTTCCTCTGATGAACTGAGAATTCACATGTCTAATGGAAAAGTGAATACAGATACCAAAGACCAGAGCCAGAACCAGAGGCAGAGAATTGAGACAAAGACCTAGAGTAGAAACCAACGGTCTAGGAAAAGACATGCTCCAACGATAGTCTACGCTATCCAAATTACTCACATATATTTCTTTTTGAGGAATGCTCTATGCTGTTCCTACAGAAGCAGAGACAATGACCAGATACGGAGGTAGATACAGATATGGAAAGAGAGAGATGTCAGAGATAGTCAGTGAAAGTTTCTGATTTTCCCAGATCTGCCCTACTAAAAAAAAAGCGCCGGATACAATGTGCACCGTCGAGATCGCGAGCGCGATAATGGTGTTGGCCTAGCATTCACAACGCAACTCGGATCACATTAGCAGAACTTCGCTCTGGCTACTGCAGCAGGTTAAACTCGTGCCTGACAAAGAAAGAAACTACAATGCCGCAATAAATACCCAAAAAATTTTATGGATTCACTTTGAAATATTGTTATTCCTCCTAGGTACGTAAAAAACCCCACGTACGCCATCCGCTGTATCAGACGAACTACATACAGGCAGACTTTTAGCGAGAGTCAGTTAATACTTTCTTCAACTATTCCCTCATGAATGCCGTCATAGGAAACCACCATCCATAGCATCCCAAGAGCGCGAGTTGTCGCGTGAAACCTGAATTACTTTAGTACAATTCTGCTTTGGATTTTGTAGCAGACGAAATTCCAACTTGCCTAGAACTACATATCTATTTTATGTCCAATATGTGAAATTGCCGCTGCGGTATAGTGGTTAGCAGTGCGTGCTACCATTCCACAGGCCTGGGTTCAAGCGCGGTTCAAACCACCATCAAGGTTCTTTTTCCAAATAGCGGTCGCCGCTCGGCAGGCAATGGCAAACCTCCGAGTGTATTTCTGCCATGAGAAGTCAGCTTCTCATACAAATACAATCGT